GAGAATTCGGGATTTAATAGAAGGCGAGATTTAATAAAGTCGATATATATATATATAAAATATATACATACAAAGAATTTATTTTTAGAATTAGTTGAAAGATAGAAAGTTGCAAAATCGAATTTCGCAATTTCCGTGTACGGCTTACCTGTGCAGCCATCACTCGCTGCCGTTCGGCGATCAGGGAACATTTCGGACACAGACATTCTCGGTAACGACATTCCCGCTTGTGACCCCGCAACCACGAGATGAGGCCATGATTCCTGCAACGGGCACACTTCGGTCTCCGCTGTTTTCCGATCTCCGTTCCCTCATTGTTTTCATTGTTCTCCGATCTGCTCCTACTCTTACCACGGAGCATGGTAGCGTCCCACACCACAAGAAATCAGTCAATCGTTTCTCTTTTTCTATTTACTCGGCTGCTCACATTGCTCGGCACGGATTTCGTTGTAGAATAGTGTCAGAAAAGAAGATCCAGCAATTATTTTGTTTATTTACTCGCGTCTACGCTGATCGTCGGAGGAGAATTCGAGCCGCACGTCTGTGTTGAGATTTTAAATCCTTTCGAAATGTACGTCTACACAATTTCTCTTGGCGAGCCGTTATAGAAAATTAATAAATTAAATACCAATTTTACAAAATGTATATTTATTATCGATAATGTAATATATAATTATTATGATATTATATGATAAAGCTAATGGAGTCTTTATCAAGCGAAAACTTTAAAATTTCTGAGAGCAAGAATCACGAGACTGAAGATTAAGATTGGCACGTGGTGTTTCCGCGCGCGCGATTTCTTGGCGATTGTTAATTTAGAACTGCACGAAAAGAGAACCGGAGCAATCTAATCGCCGCGTCGGCAAGATCTCGTCTCTTCCGGCTTGACGATGGACCCCTGTCCATTCGATTGGCCGTGGATGTGCGGGTGTACCAGGCGTTTAGGCTCTTCCACGCGATTCCGCGGCATCCCCGGAGCGGAGGAAAGTCGAGAAGACAAACAGCGGCTGGACCACCCTTCTTCGACGATTGGTTCCGTTGTGTTTACTCTTATCGCCACTCCTACTACGAGACGAGACTCTCGTATCGCAGGATATCGCAGTATCCGAGTATCACGGATACTCGCTGTTGTATGATTTTATCTCATTTTTCCGCGTTACTTCGCAACGAGGATACGCCACACCGCGAATTAAAAGGGAAATTAATGGGTCGTGTGAATAAAAGCCAAGCAAACGTTATCTCGTCGCAGATACAAGCAATTTTTAAAAAGTCAAAAAAATTTCTCGTTTCTCAATGTTTTTTTATATTAAGTTTCTCAGCACAATTTTATATGTGAGAGAGAGAGAGAGAGAGAGAAAGAAAAATAAAAAATTAATTTGTTGAATAAAGATTGATTACATACAAAAATACTTAATTTTCATTTTTCCAAGAAAATTTTATTGAGAAAATTAAAAAGATATATATAATTATCTTTTTCTTCTTAGAAAAATAATAATAAATTTTGATAAACGTTTTTATTTCTTGATATTCTTTTTATATTAAACCTATAGCCCTAGTTTATTTTTACGAGAAAGATCAAATCGGACTGAAACGTGCAAGAAATAAAAATTAATTTGAATATCGATAACGTTAAAATATTTAATTCTCATTTCTTTCCAAGAAAAATTTAGGTTGAAAAAATTTAAAAAACAATTTCTCTTCCCTTTTTAAAAAGTAATAATACAAAACTCTTAGAAAATTAGAAAAAAGTAATTAAAAGTATTACAAGGGAAAGACGTGCAGAAGTGAGAAATACGCTTTTTAAATGCAATTGTTGTAATGCAATTTGTTGTAATACAATTTGTTAAAAGATAATTTTTCATGCAAAGAATTTTAAATCTTAGCTTTAGATTTTTCAAAAGTTAATAATAGAAGAAAGGCCCTATTATAAGATACCGAGTTCATTTTGAATAAATGCTAGAAGTTTATGAGCAGAATTTACAAAAATTATAGATCATTTTGAAGGGAATTTAATAAGCTTTATAATATTATATAAAATTTAATTTAAATTCTATTTATTTTTAAATTAAAGAAATGTAAAAAGTGAACAAATCACAAAGTCAAAAAATGTGCTCCTAATATGAGATGCTCCGAGAAATCGATAATAAAAGTATATCAGTATTATAACTAAAAAACTTTATTTAATATTTCTTAAATACAAACAAACACAGTCAGGGTGCGCGAAAAATGAGTATGCGATACATTATATGTGAAGAACTCGTTTTTAGATAGTTGAAAAGCATCGTAGAAATAGACCCTTGACATTCATTCCGATTGTCTTTTTTATTATTGTACAATAACATTTATACTTTAGCAACGATTTTCATTATGACATCACTATGGGAACATAGGTTATTTCATATTAGAAATACCTTGGGTATCTCATATTACAATTTCCATGCTTTATGGTTTTATGATCATCAAATCTAACTTCTGTAATAATTAAGCAATTCAACATATCCCGTATTTTTCTATTAGTATTTTACTCTATCACTACATGAAGAATTTATTGCAAAATATTTATTTATTAAATAATAAACAATGTTTAAAGGCACATCTCAATGAAACTGTAAGACATTCAAATTCTAAAATCTTTTTTTACCATAACTATAGACATGACCTAATAATGAATTTGCTACTAAATAGTTTTCAATCCAAGAGCAATAAATTCATGATGGAACCAATAGATAGCATCTGTTAGTTTAGCAGAAATGCCGCTATATTAAGCATTTATCTCGTAATAGGAGATTTTCTTTTAAATATAAAACTTTAAACTCAACATATCGATTAATAACTTGGCAAGATGATGAATCTCAGAAAAAGGAGGAAAAATGTTAAGTATTATAATATTTTCAATTGGAATCAATTGACTTTTTTTCTACATACATAGGTAATGTAAGTACAATCGGGATTAATATGTTTTCATCGGACTCGACTATACAGTAGACAGCAACATTGTACTTATGGGATCACATTAATCCGAACTACATTTAAACCATCTATACATCAAATAAAAATGATTCTGAAATATTTAATCTTCTTCTTCTTTTCCATGATATTTATTATTTTGTCAAGTTAATCGTTCGGAAATTTTTGTATTTACTATTTATTTTTAAAAAACTAAGAGATGTCTAAAGCTATGGTTTAGAATTCTTAATATGAGTACAAAGGATTATATATGTATACTCTTTTGCAACAAACCATTTCAAAAGCACGATTTTATTTTTATAGTTTCTCCTCGTTAGAAAAAAACTCTTGAAAATTAATAATAATAAATTATTTAATTTAGACAAGAATAACACGGATGTCTGTATTAGAAATTACGTTATAATTTAAAAAAATCGAACACGTAAATATTTTTATTCTTAAAATTTTTGTTCTACAAAATTCATATATATATATATATATATATAT